GCACTTAGTGTGTTCTTAAATGTATAAAGTCAATAAATAGAAAATGTGTCTAAGCATGTCTGCCCATAGAGTACAATGTGATAGCTTGTAATGGTGATATAATTGGTAAATAGTAAGATATAAATAAATCCTCAGAAAAATTTAGGTTAAATATTTTAACTTATCCCAGGGAAATTTGAGCTAAGATATCTTTTCTAGAATCTGTTATACTTGACATAGTATATTGGGTTTTATTGAAATGGAACTTGCTTATAATATTTCAAAATCAATTTTACCAAATTGATCACGAAATCCTGATCAAAAGTTCTAATTAAGCAGTCTGGAAGTTCAACCAGAATGGATGTAAAAACAATAAGGATTTGGATGGATATTCCATGATCTGTGGTAGTTGTTTGTTTCAGAGGTAGCCACCTGACTGGGGATGTGGCTGAATTACTGTGAGGGCTTAGCATGCCCCATGTTCTAGAAATTACCCACACCAGGATGCATGTTGTGCAGACATAGAGGAAAAGAAGGCATCTTCAAAATCAACAATGAATAGACACTGAAATCTGCTTTTGTCATATGTGTAGATACAGTGAACTATATATATTTGTGTGTATGTTTGTGTGTGTGTGTGTCAATTATATCTAATCTTCACTATGGCTTGGTGAAGCATTCATTATCACTCAGGCTTAACAGACTAGAAAATAGAAGTATAGACTTAGTGGTTTGCTTAAAGACCACAGATAATCAGAAGTAACCCTATGAGAATCTTTGTGGGTTCATATAGCAAGATATGTGTGCTTAGTGATAAGCAAATATTTTGCATGTACCTAGTAAGTGTATGAGCATGTGTGCACATATAACCTAACTGGTTTTATTTTAAAGCAATCACTAATTACCTCTAGTGTTATTGGTTTCAACTTACCTGCCTCTGTTCTTGTAAGTGTGGTAGCTTGAAAAGATGAGTATTGAAGTATTTACATCGTGTTCAAAATTTTAAACATTCATGTATGACAGACTAAGGTAGTATAATCAACAAGGAACCCTTGGCCTTGTAGCACAATATGAACACCGGAAGCAATGTCCCTATAGTCAGTCTTGACTTACTTCCAATTTGAATGGACTTATAAAATATCTAAACAAGTTTTTAAAATTAAATTAAATGTTGGTAAATTATTTTAAACTAAATACAAAATGAATCTAAGATACAAGAAAGACATTTATATAGCTAATTATTTAAATAAAAACTTAATTTTTAAACTGGTGTGCTACACAGCCTATTACACAACCTATAGCCCAGCCTGAATTATACAAAGTGAAACATCAAAAGCAAAACAGAAAATGATAGTAAAATCCCATCTCGCTATACAGGTGTTTGGTCTACAGTGTGGTGGGGAATGGAGTCCTGGAAATTCTGAGTCATACTTACAGGTTTTTTTTTTTTTTAACCCGTTCAGGTAGGTGCTTAAGACATACTAACTAAAATACTATGTTGACACCCAAAACAATTGTATATGCTTATGAAAAACAAAAGTAATTTCTATAGAAAACAAGGAAAATCATTTGTAAAGATGTAGAGTAACAAGTTTGCCAATGAAGATGAACTATGCAAACAAATTGGTTATACTGAAAAATCAGAGTATTTCTTTTATGTTGATGGTTGTGGTCTGCAAAAGTTAAAATCAGTAGAAAACATAATGTGTCATTACAAAATTTTCAGATTCTCAATATTCTGTCTGAAACATTTTTTTGTTCAGCAATAGCTAAGAACAGAAAATAAATATAAGCAATAATATTGGAACTCAATAAATACATATATTCATATACATATATATGTGACAATAATGAATTGAAAAAGAGGTCATAAATTTGACATAGGGAAAAGAGAAGCATATGGGATTGTTTAAAAGGAATTGGGGAAAAGGGATAAATATTTAATCATATTATAATCTATAAATTAAATGAAGTAAAAATACTAAAACTACTATTTTGATAAAATGTTGTAATTGATTATAGAAAATTCAGTCTATTTCTGCTCAATATAATTCTTTGAAATTAATTATCTCTCAGACTAAATATAGTATAAGTTTTGCTAGTCAAAACAAAATGTCACTCTTTGAATAGCAATTTCCTACTATACCCAATTATTTCTGTTGTATTTTAAAGCTACATTGCCTTTAAAAACTCTGTGACAGAATGAACATATATTAAAATAATTTACCAAACTTTAAAATGTTTTTGAAAACATATTTATCAATATATGTATTTGTCATATATAAGATTTGTGAGTTTACTAGCATAGACATTTATGTGGGCATATATGTTAAAATTCTTAAAGAAGTTATATATATAATATAAATATAATAACATTTTTGTAGTCTTAAATTTTTTATTTAAAGGTATATACAATTAGAAAGTTTACAGATAAGAAATTGATTTTCTGTGCCAAGATGAATAAAATTGTAGGAAACAAAATATTCATGAATATTAACTAGGGCAATGAGTAAACTTTTCTAAATAGACAGACAACAGGCCTTTTTTAAAGGAACTCTGAGAACTTCTTAAAATTAACATTTGTAGACTTCATTCAGACCTCATGACTCAGAATCATCCAGTGTGTGGTTTAGGAATTTCCATTTTTGTAAGTCCCCAAGTGATTCTCACAAGTTGTAAACAAGATATATGACAGTGGAACAAATTTCAAGTTTAGGAAATTCTCACTTGAGGTATAAGCTTCACTCTGGTATCATGTTTTATGTTTTATCCTGTTTTATAGAGATGATCTAGTGAATTTAGTCGCTTTATAACAAGGAAAGCTTATTTGGAGTTTTATATATTTAAAAAATTCCTGTTAAAGGTCTCTTTTCTTCTACAATATTTAGTACCTTTCTTACTATTTATTTTACAACATGAATATTAGGATCGCATTTTTTTTCCAACAGATTTATTGTAGGCTGCATCTTTGCTCCTGCTTTAGAAATGAAATTTATTATTTTTCTCCATCTATACTCAACCATTTGGACAGATCATCTACTGGACTACAGCAGACGAAACTCTGACCACATCCACTGTACCAAACTGCAATGTGTCCTTGCTATATCAGTACTGTGAGGATACAAAGATATGTATATCAGAACATTTTCATAACACATAAATGATAATACTATCATGTCAAATAATAAAAGTAATATTTTGAAGTAAAATAGAATGCTTTGGAAGTGAAATATATAACACGCTCAAGCAGTTAGTTACAAACTGTTTACTAAAATGAATGGAAATAAGAGGGTAAGATATATTCTCTTATGCATGGTCTAGATTTTATTCCACAACTTTCATGGTTTGCAGAAATACAGGAAGAAGTACTCTTGTTCTGAAAACAAAATTTGCAAACTTACATGAAATGTGTAATAGAAAGTGTGTGATGATTTTGATTAGAAAAATAATTTAATGGTTCTACTCTGATATGATATATGATACCAATTCCAATAGGTGTTCCTTTCTTTTTCTGGAATACTTCTCCAGCTTGTGGTCTTTAATAAAACTATCTATACTCAATATTTATTGTTAAGAAAAAAAGAAAAGAAGAGTGAGGAGTGGGTGGGAGCTACATACATACTGTCTGCCTACATCTACAAAGTTGATTTGGCATTTCATTTTGCTTTCATCTCTTCTGTGTCCAAAATTGATATGTTCCATCCCCAATTCTAGAGAAAGAAGGTCAGAGAAATGTATAGATATCTGCAACCAAACTAAAAAGTAGGTAAACTCTCAACCCTTTGAGCTTATCTCTATCCACAACTACTACATTAACTTCCATGAAAACTTTGGAATAGTGTCTTGATATCGTTCATAGATTTATGTCTTTATTAGGAGGGGGAGATGGCACAACAATGCATTATTTCAAAGTGGAAATAGAAAATGGCATGTTATGGAAAGAGTGGACTTCTAGCTTTCTGTTGGTTCTGGTTGGAAACTACAATGTGGTAAGAACTACTTCTGTGGTTAGAAGCATGGAGCACTGTGCTGGGTGGAGGGATTCTACTCTCATAGGCTTGTTCAAAAGAGTTCTAAATGAGCTACACAAAAGACATTTCAGGAAACACTCATGCTCAGGAATTTTATGGCCCCTCCTCCCCCTTTACTTGTGCACTCATGCATACTTCATGATTTTAGCATTGCATTCATTTGGTTGAGCATGTTTTCAGCACTGCAGCCAGGCCAGCTCTGTTCCAGATACATCCTCTAAACATTCATTGAACTATATTCACTACCATATATGCAGTAACCCCTCTCTCAACTGATGATGAGAGTAATAATAATCAGTGAGGTCCCCAGGCTCCTGAGCTATGCCTTGGCCTTCTGACTACATGGATGTCTTGTACATTTAGGAATACTCTATGAGGTTTGACAAGCCTCTTTCCGGGGGGCCCTCAACTAGACCGCTGTCCTTGGTGCTGAACCGTGAATGCCCATCTGGGAATCCGCTGCCGGGTCAATGGGGCTGGATAGAAAACCTGGCTGACTGAATGCTCAGGTGCAGGACCAAAGACTGTAGTGTAGAATAGAAACAGCTCTACCCCCGCCCCCAATACTCCTCCACACAGACTACGCTGGTGTTCGCCAGGACCCAATTTGTATATTTCTCCTTCAGACCCCCACCCAAATGCCTTCAATATGGCCTCAAATGCCGGCGTGTGCGAACACACACAGCCCACTTCGGATCAGATTGCAGCAAAATTCAAATGTTATTCCCAGAACACAGACTCTATGAGGTGAGCTTTAGCGCTCTGAAACAAAACACAAACAAATACAACCTAGTTCATTAAAAAAATAAACCAATATGTCTTTCCTCTCTCATCCGTCTCTCTCCCACACCATATATTCACTCTTCCCTAAATTATAGAGCCTAAATCCCAAAAGAGTGTCACGAATCTGGTGGTCTCTCTACTTCCACAACACTACCTCTCCCCCACATCCCTGTAGAGCCAAAGGACGCTGAAAACGGCCCATCTTACCCCGGGTAGAGCGATAGCAGAAGCAGAATCCACAGCGTCATTTTCTGTGAAAATACAGGAGAGTAGACTGTGCTCCCAATGCTCCATGTATTTGGCGAACTCATCGCTTTTTTTTTTTTTTTTTTTTTTTCTCGCCTCTGGGATGCAGAAGAATCCCTCCCCTTTGTATTATTATTATGCTGATGATTTGATGCTAGCTTCCCCCACCTGCCTCTAGTAGGTCCTGTCACTCAGGAGATGTATTGCTACCAGCTTTGAAAATTAATATTCAGGGGGCAAAAATAAAGATCAGTACAAACGCTCGCAGATACCATCAAAGCGTCAGCTCAGGCAGCAGCTTCCAAGTCTGGGAGGATAATATAATTGAGGCGGGGGGGATGGTACAACCAGAGATGCACACGGAAGCAAATGAGAGAATCAGAAAGGCGCTCACATTCATGCTCTGTGCGCTCACACGAACTCCCAGGGGTCTGTCCTTTTGGGTTTGTGTATGTGTTTGCTCTTTGATTTCTTTCTTTCTTTTTAGATGGGGCTATGCTCTGTTTGTGCGGTTTCTGTTGTATATTTGTTTAAAAGAACAGAAAAGGAAATCACTAGAGGCTCTTAGTGATCAATTCGTGTAGATTAACTGTGAGGTCAAAGTGGAAGAGATGTGAGGCTGCAGCAAGAATTCACACATGCGTTATTTCTTGCCAGCACTTTTTAACCCTTTCCTGCACTGGCATGCTAAGATTTTCATTCATGGGGGGGGTGAAAAAAAAGAGAGAGAGAGAGAGATGATTCAGTCTGTCCAGAAACAGAATTACTAGAGAGAGGGTTTGTTTATGCCAGATTTGAGGACAATTCTTATTGTAAAATAATAGAGTCTTAATTCATGATTGTATAGTTGGGGGAGGGGAAGCAGGCAGTGAGAAAGGGGTAGCTGTGCCCAGTGAACTATCCTTTAGGGAGAAAGTTTTCATGAATTTAAACTGAATGAAAGCATGGGGAAAGTCCTGTGCTTCTCAGGACCTTACTCCTTCCTTGCCTGTCATCCATCAGTTGGAATGCTGACTAACACAGCTGCATGGAAATAGCTGCTTGAGTAAGGATCACAAAATAGGGCCCTCATCTGCTTATGCCTGTATGTACCTGTGAGCAAAAACTGTTTGCGATCTAGCAATGTGCAGACACTCCATTTCTTCTGTATGCTAACTTTCGTTTCCTTAATTTTGTTTTTAGGTAGCTTGGAAGAAATCTTGTATTGACTTCTTTTTTTCTGGACCAATGAGCAACAACGACTTTGGAACCCTCTTACTCCAACCTAGTTCATCGATCACACAGGAAGTCCAAACCCTCGTATCCTGGAGAAGAAAGTGTCACTTTGCTGACCACTTCCTACAGAGTCAGTGTTGAATATTCAAGATGTTCATTAAAAAGCACAGGTGAAGCAATTGCCATGACTCTTCATGGAAAGTGCCAGTGAGTCATCTCTAAACCAAAACGTATTCTAATAAAAATCATACTATACAAATGGCACTTGAGTAAGAAGTTTGGGGGATGGGAATTGAAAACAAAGAAATCCAGTTCCATCATTACCCTTAATGTCTTAGAAAAGCAGAAAAATAAAAAAAAAATAATGATGGCTTCAGACAATGACTTAAGTCCATGAGATGGAAAGCTGCATGGCACTAGCTTTAAGCATCATTATTTCATGGTATGTGAACAAAATCCAATTAAAACAACAGCAGCATTCACATGAGGTCAATAGATTTTTTCCACTGTGATATCAATAAATTTAAATAACTGTTTGCTAAAATGGTCCCATTCCTAACTGTAGCAATAAGACTAGGGTTCCACCTCACAGCTATAATTTTAATTTATACAGAGCATAGGCAGTTTATAATTACGTTTTAGTAGTGGCTATATCTAATTGATCATAGTTTTGTAGAATAGGGCTTAAAACATATTTTTAAAATATCTACCAAACAACACCCAAATGACGTAAATGAAATAGAATGGCTATGAATCACTAAAATACTAGAAACTATGCCCATTAAAGTGACTATTATTGTTAGTTATTAATATTCATGAATGTTTGGCCTTATCTTACGTTTGTCCCACTAGCTCTTATAACTTAGTTTAACATGTTTTGCTTCATCTACGTTTTGCCTTGAGGCTTTTTACCTTTCATTTTGTATGTTCTAATTTTTCCTGCTTCTTCCTTATCTAGCTGGCTGGCAGCTGCCTGACTGGCTTTATCCAGATGTCTCCCTCTCTTTCTGCCTCATTCTCTCTCAAGACTAGATTCCTCTTACTACTTATTCTCTCTGCCTGCCAGTACCAACTATCCCTCTACTGTATAGCTATTGGCCATTCAGCTTCTTATTAGACCAATCAGATGAAGACAAGGTGATATAAACATAACACATCTTTGCAGAGTTAAACAAATGCAGCATAGACAAATGTAACACATCTTTCCTTAGTAAAATAATATTCCAAAACACATATTTTATTCTTTAGTACTTATAAAATACATTATTTAGTAATTTATTTTGTAATCATCTTAACTATTATATTAGGTTTGTAGCCATTACCTAATAAAATGAAGCTCATTTTTATTATAAATTATGTGTATATACATACATGTAGATGAAATTGTATTAAAATTTGAAAAATATAGAAAGTAGAATGAAGGAAACTACCACTTATATCCATAAGGAATTATAATTATTGGAGTGTACTTAATGATTATGGCTGCTGTTATTAGTGTTACATTTTCAATTTTTTTTATTTATTTATTTATTTATTTATTTATTTATTGGTTTTTCAAGACAGGGTTTCTCTGAAACTCTGGCTGTTCTAGAACTCACTTTATAGAGCAGGCTGGCTTGACCTCAAAGAGATCTGCCTGACTTTTCCTCTCAAGTGCTGGTATTAAAAGCATGTACCACCATGCCATAGCCCAATTTTATTCTTTTTTTTTTCTTATTTTACATATAGATCCCAGTTCCCTCTTCCTTCCTCCCTTCCTTCTCCCCTTCCTTCCTCCCTCCCTCTCTCCCACCCTCCCATTCACCCTGACCACTCTCCCACCCACCCCCAATCCACAGGGAGGGTGATGCCATCCAGCAGGGGTTAACAAACAGTTTTACTTTTAATTTGAAGCAGTGATCATAGTTTTACTGTTGTGGTTACTATCTCCAGAAGGAAATTATGAGATTCAATGTTATGGACCAGTGGGAATATCTGTAGAAAACAAAAACAAAACAAAACAAAAGGCTAGTGGTGCAATCCTGATTATCTGAGTCAGATTCCTGGAATGCCACATAAAAGTCAGATGAAGTGGTGCCCTTTTGTATTCCAGGCATTTCTAACATGAAATAAGACACAGAGACAAAAGAATTGACCAAATATTTATGTGTGGTGATATATTATTCATTATTTAATAAAGCTTACCTGACTGATCAGAATGCAAACCTAATTATAGCCATAGAAGCTGGGCAGTAGTGGGACACAAGTTTAAATCCAGAACTCAGGAGACAGAGGCAGATGGATCTCTGTGAGTTCAAGGCCATCCAGGGCTACATGAGAGTGAATCAGTCTAAAAGAGTAAAAGAGCTCATGTCTTTATTTGTGGAACTAGAAAGGAATATAGGGAAGAAGCAAAGGGTCTCATGTGAGATTCAGTTTCCTGTCACAGGGAAGACAGGATCTCCATTTCAGCCTTTGGAGAAGAAAGAACAACTGGCTGGCTATTTTGTTTCTCTCATCTTTAACTTGAACTATAATATCAGTCTCTGGTTCTTTTTTTTTTTTTCTATTTGTGCTACTTTTTGGGAACAGATAGCCTGGATCAAGTTGTATGAGGGCAGGAATATCCAGAAAGACCGAATCAATAAGGTGGAGAAAAACTAACTCTTGAAAGTTATCCTATCCTTTCCCAAAAGCAGTCTTCTGGGCTATGTGTGCTATGGCATATACATGTGTGAACTCATGCACACATACACATACACATACACACACACACACACACACACACACACACACACAGACAGAGAGAGAGAGAGAGAGAGAGAGAGAGAATAACTAAATGAGTAAGTAAATTTCAAAATTAAAAGTTGGGCTGTAGAGTATCTCAAGAAAAGTTAAAATATATCACTAATATTTTAGTTCTGGCAATAACTTTGTAGATGATTATTCTTTGGATGATATTTGTAACTATTTGGGAAACATTAAGTGAACAACTATGTTAAATATTAGAAAAATGGCTAAAGTTGTCTGAAAGAATAAAGAAATTAAAGTAGAATTCAATCAGAATTGAATTGTGCCAAAGATTGTGGCTTTTCCCTGGCAAGCTTAAATTACCACTTATTCTCAATTTTTCCCAGGATTTCCTCTTTGTAGTCCCACATTGAAGAAAATCCATCAAACCCCAGAAGTTGAAGATAGCTAGATAAAGTACAATCACACTGATAATTATCAGAGGACTCCCATGAAGGCATAAATCGGGGAGGAAATTAGAATATTACAGCAGAACAACAGAAAAATAATATTTCACATATCAAAGTAAACTCCACTTAAATGATTGTTTCTGTGTAAGAAAAGACTAAAGGAATTAAAGGGCCCAGAAAACACAAAACTGAAAGATTGAAAATGCAGCATCAATATGAGCTGCCATTCTCTGTCGCGAAGTACGGCAACTGAATGCCACCAAATGAAGATTCTCCATCAGCACCACATGGTTCACTCCAAATTCTAGGGCCCTGACCTTTCCAAGTTCTAATGAAATTCGGATTTGTCATATGAGTAATGACAAAAATGACACACTTTAAATGGTTCAGAGTTTATTCTCCACTAGGTTATGGTGACTGGTGAATAAATTAACACTTACTACATCAAAAATCATCATTCTTCAGAGAAACAGCATACCAGAATCTTTTTCACACATTATGTAAGACACCTGATACACAGTAAAAACATAAGCTGTACACAGTACAAAACAGTAAGTAATAGAAAATGCAGTTACACTTTGTTGAGGTAGATAAACATGAGATGTCCTAAATATTGCAACTAGAAAATAGTAGCATTCAATCAACCATAAAAAGTAATTCCAGGACTTAATGAAAAGTATG